CCTCCACCATCTAATGGGGCTTGGGATTGAGTCATCTTTCTACCACCTGGTGGTCCAGGGATGAAGCTTGGTACTTGTATAGTCAATGAGGCCCAACTTCTACCCTCTGTATCATTTTGTTGTTTAGTACAACAAGGTTGTTGGCTGCCTCCTTATACAGTCTATATCCTGCCTGGTAATTTCTTCCAACATACCAGGTTCCATCTAAGACTCATCACTGGATGCTCTCCCTTCCCAAGAGGCTGGATTTTGTTGTTCATGTCCTTAGCATAGAGTAAGTACTTACACATTTCTATCAGGTATGCCTCTGTGCCAAGCAATCAAGACTTCTTCAACTTCATCACATCATTTACGACGATTGTCCTGAAGTATACGCCACAAGCTACTTTGTACACTTCATATAAAGTTGCTTTTAACCATTCTGACTTCATACCTCATTAGCTGTTTTTCTGTAGCTATAAATGACTCCTCGCCTGGCTGGTGATTTGAATTCTTTCTTTAGCTATGCAGTCTTGAGTAAACTTCCTTCCAGGATGGTCCAACCACCAGGATGCTTTGCCTCTATGTATTCTCCTGGGGTCCTGAGCCCGTGGTGAATAGAGGCTAGCCATGGTTGCAGTCCTAATGCGATCAGACTGTTTTCCTCACACTGTCTAGAGTATATAACTTAAAAAAACCATCTCCTGTGGCTTAGAATTGCTTCACTGTTATATCAATGTGACATAATGAAACTTCTCTTGTTCTCTACACTTAGTTTCAATGCCTACATGAACAACACTGGAACCTGGCACACCCTTAGGTATATTAGTTGGCTCACCCAGCTGCCCTCAGAGGCCTGAGTTTCTATCCCCATCCTGCCTGGTCCTGGTTTCTTTCTTCCACCCACCTATGCTAATTATAAGGACATGACATCCTCTTGCCTGGATCTACCTTCATTATGATAGGGTGTCCTATGTTATGAAGGGCCATAGCCAGCTGAGAAGAGCCATAATTGAGAAATAAACACCTCTCAACACCAATGGAAGAATTTAAGCTGTGCATTAACCTGTCAATTGCCATAGATATTAATCTACAGGGCATAATCAGCCTGCAAAATATATGTTGTTAACTTTCGCAATAGCTACTACCCAGGGTTTCGGGAAAACAGGCCACTTTGTTATATCACCCACTTGAAAAATTCATCCCGCAGGCTAAGAGACACAATTGATTTTCATGGGGCTCAGATACAAACTCCTTGATTCTTTGATCTGGAAAGCATAAAAATTATCATTTAACTTTAGCCCAAAGCTTTCATTTTTCAGATGGGAAATCTAAGGCCCAGAGTGGTGAATACTGATGATTATAACAACACATAATATTTACTGTCAGTTTATATATTATGTAGCAGGTAGTGTTTTCCAGGTAGTGTAGCCTTTTGAATACATATATTAATTTTAATCCTTATGATATATGAAGTGAATATAATTATTATCTCCATTTTACAGAATGGAAATGGTTACAGGAGTGACTTGTCCAAGGTCACATAGGTGATTAGTGGTGGGACCAGGATTTAGGCTTATATCACTCAACCACAAATCCAATACGCTCCTCTCATCTTTAAAAAAAGTACTTACCCCCCTGCAGTCTAGATTTCTCCTTCTGCTTGTGAATTCCATAGAGGGACAGGAGGGACAATTCTGATAATTCTTTCAACTTAGTCATGGCGTCCCCCGTGGCCCAGGAGGGTAAAGTGAAATTGTGAACACGCTGTAGCAAAGAAAAAAGGAAGGAAATGTATATTTTTATTTCTGATTGTCCTCTTTGTTGATTTTTTTATCCTCTTTCACCCCACAAGAACTACTGGATCCTGCCTTTATTGTCCTGCCATTTCTTTCTGGGAGAACCTTACTTTGTGATAAATAGTGGTATTGACTTTCAGATGAAAAATTCACGGGAACTCATTTACCCCTTCCTACCAAGTGCATAGCTATTGGCTTAACTCTGGGTAAAAGATGATTCGTATTTTGCACAGTGAGGGTAGAGTTGGGCAGGAATGTACCTTATTTCTTTATGAAAGGTTTAGAAATCTTTTTATTAACCTGGGGTGGTAGGGAGGTAAAGCTGACAGGGTTGGTAGATGTTTCCTTAAAAGCCAAATGAGCAGCCTAAGAGGACAGGTGGGAAAGGTAATATATTTCCAGAGCCTTTAATAATATACCTGACTCCTATCGGTTTCTATCTAGTTCACTGACTCTTGGGGAAAGCCTATACCTTGCACACAGCAGGAGCTTGGTAAATATTTGTTAAATTGATAACTAATCTGTACAGCAGGGCAGGTAGAGACCTTGTGCCAATATTTATTACCTGCTATGAAGAGTTAATTAAGATTCCCCAGATTCAAAGGCTGGATTTGATAGAGAGAGAGAGTTTGTGGAAGAGGAGACCAAAGTAAAGTAATCTACAGAGGAAATGAGAAAGAGAGAGGTGAAAAAGAACTATACACCATGACCCTATCAGATCACACTGCGGTAAGGAAGAAAGAAAAATATCAAGATTGGAACCAAAATGTGAGCTTTTGTCTCTATTGAAGAGTCTTTTATAAACAAGCTCACGTATCTTCCTTGAAACCTATGCTGATGATAAAGTAAAAATATTAGGAAAGTAGTGTGTGCTCGCGTCAACTAACTCTGACATGGAGGGGGCAAACTGTGTCATCTGTTACTGAGATGGAACTAGGAAAAGTAATTGCTGCCTCCCCATCCCCCACCCCCACCCAACACTCACAATGACCTCAAAATCAGAGGTGGATAAGAGTCCTGTGAGTGGTCAGATTTGCCCCAGGATTCAGTGAACTGGCTGGGAAATCAGGATTATAGAGTATTCCTTTTGGCCAGCAGGTGGAGCATGGTGAGTGAAAAACACCTTGTAACCTTGAAAAACTCAGTATTAATTTAGCTAACTACAAATGTTATTTTGTATGCGTTGTACAGCAAGGAAGAGATCTTTTCCCCATAAACCACTTTCAATAGCCTGGCTTAAAGTTGATTTGCTTATTTTAATATCCAGAAACCAGGTGATTTTTTTTTCTTTTACTGTACAATAACATCGCATTTTTCATTAAAATACACGACAGAAGCCAAGCATTCCTAAGTGACTGAAAAATAAGTGGCAAGGCATAGAAGAAAAGCAATTTTGTTTGCAATTTTCTAAAAGGTAAAAACATGAATAACAGAGAGAAGAAATCAGAATGTTCAACTGAATATAAAGAAGTCTTGGATTATGTTTCTATGTTAAAAGATATATAAGTAATACATTTGTAAAAAAGCAAAAGAAAATATTCTTTTATTTCAAAATAGGCATACATTATAAAATCAGATTGCAAGTTAATTTTAATATTTCCTTCTTTTACCTCACAAAATAAAGGGTCGTAGACTTTACTCCAAATTCCGAAAAGGTCCTTGCCATGGTATCCTGCAAGTTTTGGCAATGTTTCTACAAAATCCTGAAACACACAGAGTGGGAAAAATTTCTACACCAGGGTTTCTCAGCTTCAGCATTGATATTCATATTGATATTTTGGGCTGGATAATCTTTGTTGTGGGGGGCTGCTCTGTGTATTATAGGATGTTTGGCAGTATCCCTGGCCTCTGCCCACTAATGCCAACATCATTCTTAATCCCTCAGCTGTAACAACCCAAAATGTTCCCCATGTGGCAGATTTGCCCTGTGGAGAATTGCTCTTCTTTACAGAAAAGTATGCCGATAATACTGGTTATGATAATGCCAATCCAAAGAATTTTACAAATATTAATTGACCGTTTCTAATTATTACATCAAAAATTGAGCAAATACTGGCTTACTGTCACATGCTCCTTCCTGATTTGTCCTGGAATCAGACTGAACTGAACTGCCTCAAAATTCTTTTTGGAAGTAGGTTATGTATAACTCACATGCAAATGAGTGTCTAAGGAGAGAGGGGAAATATGTCTCAGGCCAAAGCACCTCAGAAAAACACAGCAGAAACAGAACCTGGTGTCTGGCTCTAAGTATGAAATTTGGATTGGATGCAAACATTTCTCTAGGTTCTGTATTATTCTTGAATTTTTATGTTAAGGACACTGACTGTTCAGCTATCTGCCTGATGAAATTGGCAGCAATTTCTGTGAAGTCTTTTGGAAGATATTGTTTGTCTATTGGATAAATTTTCTAGGAAAATATAATTTTCCAATATTAACCCAGATTTCCATAAAATAAATAGAAATAATTATTAAAGATCCCTTGCCACCCCCTATCCCCCCCAAAACCTCCGAAACATAACAAAACAGAAACTCTAGGGACAGATGATTTTATGGAAGAATTCTACCAAGTTTTCCAACCTAAATTATTCTGTTATTTTAACTGCTCTGGAGCATAGAAAAAGAAAACTTCCAAAAAATTTTTATGAAGTAAGTGTAATATTGATACTGACAAAGATTATCTAGAAAACAATAGTCTAATGTCATTTTGACTATCAATACAAGATATCTAAGTAAAATATTAGCAAATAATTCAATATAATATTAAAAGAAAGGGGCTTGATTTTAGAAATGTAAAAATGGTTCAATATTAGTAAGTCTATGATAGATCTTGGTAACTGATCCAAGGAGAAAAATAACTTGATTATATTAAAATGTTAAAGAGACCTTTCAAAAAATTAAACACCAATATTGACAAAACACTCAAGAAAATAGGAATTCATATGGTTTCACTCGCATGTGGGATATAAAACTGAAAGCAACAAATGAACAAGACAAAAACTCATAGACACAGACAACAGTGTAGTGGTTACCAGAGGCAAAGTGGGGAGGAGAGAGGTAGATAAGGGTAAAGGGGGTCAAATATATGATGACAGAAGGAGATTTGATTTGGGGCGAGGAACATATAATGTAATATACAGATGATGTATCGTTGAATTGTACACTTGAAACTTATATAATTTTATTAACCAATGTCGCCCTAATAAATTTAATAAAGAACAAAAACAAACAAATAAGAAAATAGAAAAGATGGCTAGTTTCTTAACTTGATAAAAATATACCTATTTGGTCCCAGAGCTAGCATGCTTAAAAGAGAAACACTTCTAAAATCAGAACAAAGACAGGGATGCCTACTATCAACACTATTATATAATATAGTCATGGGCCACTGAAGAATGGGGATATGTTATAAGAGATGCATCTTTAGGCAATTTTGCCATCGTGTGGCCATCATAGAACCTAGGTGGTATAGCCTACTACATACCTAGGCTGTATGGTATAGCCTATTGCTCTGTAGGGGAGAAAAACTAATTTTCCTTCTCCCTTTCTGGGTTCTTGACTGAGACATTCCTGTAATAAAAGATAGGTTAACAAGAGAAAAACAAAAGTTTAACATGTCTATACGTGAGAGATCCAGGAAAGCTGAGTAACTCGCCCAAATGGCTGAAGCAACCAGCTTCAATATCATCTTCAGCCAAAGAGAAAAGAAGCCTTTGGGGATGGTGGGTGTCAGTATGGGAGGTTACTAAAAAAAGCACAATAAACAAGGGTAGAGTTGTTATGCAGATTTAAGTTGTTGCCTTCTGCATCGGTAAGAGTTTCTAGAAATAAAGTTACCCCCCTTTTCCTGGTGCAGCCAGTGGGACATGTTGACAAATGGCAATTTCCCTTACAAACATAGAAATCTTTTATGAAGGCTAACTTCTACTTGGTGTTCAGAACTTCCTGCTGTTTCTTGAATTCAACCATGACTGTACTGTACTGTAAGTACTGGTCAGTGGAGATAGGCAAAAGAAATCTGAAGTAGAAATATTGGAAAAGTAGAATTAAATCATGAGTATTGGCAGATATTATAAACCTGGAACACACTTAACAAAAAATGTAAAGACGTATATGAAGAACACCCTAATAAAATATTGACGATAAGAACAAAAAGTAAAAGGTATCATGTTCTTGGAAAGGAAGATTCAACATCAGAAAGTTGCAAATTCTCCCTAAGTTAATTTATAAATTTAGTATGATCCCAATAAAAACACTAAAAGATTTTTCTGGACCTAGACAAGCAGATTCTGAAGTTCACAAAGAAAATAAAAATATAACCAAGAAAACTCAGGTAAAGTAGAGCAATGAGGGATGATCAGCCCTTTAGATATTAAAATTATAAAGTCTTAATAATTAAAACAATGTGGTTTTAGCTAATGAAATAAAAAAAATAATTAAATAAAATAAAACGTCCAGAAATGGACTCCATTCATATGGGAATTTTAATACATAATAGCTCAAATTAGTTGAGAAAAGAATGAAATATTCAATAAATAGTGATGGGGCAATTAGGTAACCTTCTGGGAAAAAACTTAAACAGGATATGTACCTCATACTTAACCTCAGTATAAATTGTAAATCAATCCAATATGTAAATGTGAAAAGGAAGGCTATACAAGAATTAGAAGAAAGCTTTGCAGACTTACTTTATAACCTAGCAATGGGGAAGGCTATTCTAAACTATTCTGACTAAAAATATACAAACCATATATGAGTATATCGGCACATTTACGACTACGTGGCAAAAACACTGTAAACAAAGTCAACGGGCAAACAATAAAAACAATGCCATTCATATTATAGACAAAGATATGAAAACATAGAAAGTATCTAAAAATTATAGAAACCTCCACCCCCCAATAATTTAAAAGAAAAAGTGGTTCAAGGGATATGAACAGAAAAGGAAGTACAAATGGCATTTAACTAAAGATATCCAAAGCTTACTCCTCACTAAAGAAAAGTACTACAGCACAATGTCGTGTAAGAGTGATGACAAAAACGCTGTGCCCTTGTCTCATACCTGCTTTCAGAGGGGACACTTCTAGAGATACCATTTTTTCACCTAACAGATTGGCAAACATCTCTAAAGTTGTCTATGCACGGTTGGCAAGGCAGTAGAGAAATGGGTACTCTCATGCATTGCTGACAGGAGTAGAAATTGGTATAACCTCATTTGAGGGTAATTTGATAATATTTTAAGTTATTAAAATATTGCTCTAAAGCATCTACTTCTGGGATATTATTCCACAAATATTCTTGTGAAATTATTTATATGCACAAGATATTCGAGCAAACTGTAAAAGATTGCAAATGACACAAATTTCCATCAATAGAGACTGGTCAAATAAATTACAGTATGACCATAAATTCAAATACACAGTTGTAAGAAAAAATGAGGAAACTATTTATGTACAAATATAAAAATATTTCCAAAATATTTTGTAAAATAAAAAAAAATACAAGTGACCAACCTTATAGTATAGCACTTTTGTGTAATAAAAGGGGAAATTACCAGAATATATTAATATTTATTTGCATATACATAAAGAAACTGCAAGGCTACATAAGAAAATACTGCCAGCAGTTATCTGTGGGGTTACTGAGAGACTTTTTACTGTATTCTTTATTTTTTATTTTTTTTTGATTTTTGAACCATGTGAGTGTATTGACATATTCAAAATACGATTTTTAGAAGTACAAAGCATCATATCTACTTTTTGTATAGTTTTGAAAAGAAGTATTTTGCAAAGTGGAAACAAAATTAAACAACAACAACAACAAAAAACCTATCCTTTGTATCTGAAGACAGAAGGCTCAGTTCTTCAGCCTCACAATAAGGCACATCATTTTAAACTTGCATTTATTCGGATCCAGCCACACAGTTTCACCTGGTTCCTCACAGACATATGAGTATAAGATTCAGAAAAGACTGGCTTCTTTACTGTCTTGTGGCCATGGCACAGTGATGAGGACTAGGTTGTGATGACTGACCCTCATTAAACAATCTAACCCACTGCTTAACCAGCCATTGGCAGACGCATTCCCCTCAGACTTTTGAGAAACTTCATCTTTTGTCTTGGCCCTCACACTTATGTACACGACTAAATGACACTATTTTTTAACCTTATAGGGTTGCAGCCTCTTCTGGAATTCTTCCGATTTCAAAGTCTCCCTCTGAAGTTGTTGAAAACGAGGGCAGTTCCTGAAAGGCAGGTACAGCAACTGAAGACAAAAGAAAAATCATAAAAAACTTTATTAGTCAGAAGAATTTTGCTAAAGAAGCAGCAGCCATCTTTTAAGCCTAATTAGATGCAAAGAGACCATGAAAATTCTAAAATTGAAGGCAAAGAGGTAAATGGTCTGCAGGTCTTAAACAGCAGGATATATACCCAGAACTGTAAAACTTTTTGTTCTTTCGTGAAATTGCCTAAATAGGACTATGCTGTTGGTAAATATTCACTTTTTGTGAAATGATAACTGTTACCTTCTTTCACTACTCCTTTCACTTCTAGCACTAGGTGTACACATGCACCAGAGAAATAAATTAGAGGTTCTGGAAAGAATCTTAAGAGATCAATTTACCATTCACTGACTTAATTCCTACAAATTCGTAGATGGTTAAAATAATGGCACATATTAAATCCATAGAAAAATATATTTAAAACTCTATTATGAGAACAAAGTGATCATGCTAAAATGAGTTTAAATTTAACAATCTTTTATAGTTTTAACTATAACCGACAGGCTGGTGACTCCCGAGTTTATTTTGTTGCTCTTACTTTCCCTCTGTGTCTAGTCCTGTATTTCCAGCCCTTTGTGGATAGCACTACTTGGATTTGTCTCTTCTTCCTCAAATTTAACATGTATAAAGCTGAACTCAATTTCGTTTTCAACTGTTTCCTCTTTGCAATCCCTCTACTTTTGCCAATGGCAAATTTTTATCATCCTGCTTCATTAACTAATCACTTTTGCTTGTCTACTTTCAAAATATTTCCAGAACAGGCCCCTTTTCTTTATCATCATTGTCCCTTCACAGTCCAAGCCACCATAATCCATGTTTCATCTACTGCTTTCTATTTGGCGAGTTGGCATTTATTTATTCTTTCTACCTTCATGATTCACTCTCCACGAGCGGCTATATTAATCCTTTCAATTTTATTTTTGTAAATACTAATCTTTTTAAAGCATCAGTCAGATCATGCCACTCTGTGGTTTATGACTTTCACTGGCTTTCTATTTCACTTGGAGTAAAGCCCAAATTTGTTAGTCCCTAGTGATTGCTCTGCCCTGCTTTCCTACTACTGTCCTTGTCACTCGTTCCCCTCAAACAATACTGTGGGGCTTCATGCTGTCCCGTGAACACACAGGCTGAGGTCTCTGCAGACTATTCTCTGCCTGAGACACTCCCCCTATTGACTCCCACCTACGATGTTTTAGCCATCCTGCCCCAGCCACCTTCACATTGCCTTGTTTTATTTCCTTCAAGGATCTCATCACCATCTGAAATTATTTAATTTATTTATATCCTAATTATCTATTTTCTATAGCACGTAAACTCGAGGACAGCCAAGATCTTATCTAGTTTGTTCACTGCTGTGTTGTCAATGCCTAGAACAGGGCCTGGCATGTTAATAGCAACTGAGAAAACATTTTTTTTTGTAAGTTGCTTTCTGTCTATCATTTCTGATTCTGTGTGTCACTTGTCTTACCTCTCTTTCCTTCCAAGGTTTTTACCATCTAACTTCAGGCCTTCATTTAATTACTTCTGAATTTCCTCAACGGTTTTTCTTAGAGGCTCAAGTATCTTTTCCTTCCAAGCCATTGTCAGACAAATGCTCAAAGCACCACTCATAGTCTCACAGGGCTTTTATATACTTAAGGAGGAATACTTTTTTTTTTTCACTTTTTTAAAAAATTTATGCCTACAGCACCTGGTCTTTCTAGGTGGTCTTCCATCCAAGTACTAACCAGTCATGACCCTGCTTAGCTTCTCAGATCCGACATCGGGCTTTTTCAGGGTGGCATGGCCGGCCATAGACCATAGACCGTGGCTCCACTGGGGCGTGAACCCAGGACCTTCTTCATGTAAAGCAGATGTGCTAACTGCTACACTATGGAACCATGTCCAAGGAGGAATACTTTAACGTTCAGTGCTTTACATCTAAATTTCCATGCGTGGCTTTCAAATTTTTCCATAGTTAGAAATAACTTAGTTTAGGGAAAAAAATCATGAAACTATTCATTTAAAGGTCTATGTTTTAATGAATTATTTAAACTTTCTAGACTTCAGTTTTCTCATCTCACGTATTGAAAGAGTCAGGCTGAAAATAAATAGAATACCTAAACATCTGCCCAGAATATTGCAGTTTACAAAGTCTTTTCCATTCCTTAACTAACTTGGTTTTCTCAAATCCCTATAAAGAAGTTAGGTGGGTATTGTTCTCATTTTACAGAAAAGGAAACTGAGGTGCAGGGAGGTTACTCAAGGTCAAGTATCTGAAGTGCTAGTTGTCTCTCATACCTAGGTTTTCCTAACTTTAAATCTAGCCTTCTTTCTACATCACACTGCCTTTCAGCCTCAGGATTCATTCTAGCTATTAAATTTGAATTCTCTAATCTGTGCCAAACATAGTTATTCAGTCTTATTTTCATTCATTCTAAATATGAACTCTGGACACAGAAGGGCAAGCACTCTGCATGTTCACTCACTGCCATGCTTTCGAGCTGCCTTCCTTTCCTGTTCTACCTCTCCTCTGAGGTCTGGTTCAAGTTCTCAATCTCTCCATGAAGACTTGAATGACTGCCCTTTGGTAGCTCCAAGTACATCTCATTCTCTGAATTCCTTCAGTATGTACAGCTTGCACTTGAAATCAATGCTCACCATCCTGTTCTGTGTTCTATACATTTCACACGTGTGAATCTTTTTTCTTCAAATGGATTATAAATTAATGAGGAAATCTGGCCTCATCTTTCTCATATTTATAGTATTTTGCACAGCTCTGGGAATAACTTTGTGTTGATTGATTGATTGATTTTCTTAGAGATCTTAGTTGATGTTAGGGAGAACTGTTTTCATCTCAGTAAGCAGGGAGCTGGAAGCCATAGGTAGATAATCTTATTTGCTTTTATCTTCCTCTTTCTCTCTCCCTCACTCTCTGTTTTTCTCTCCCTCTTCTTATAGTATCTGTCTTCTCTTTACTATCTAATTTAATTACTATCTTTCAGGATTAAGATACCTTGGTCTACAGTGGCTAAATTTGGTACTGCTGTTCAGCCTTTATCTAATATGAAAAGGCTGTAGTAAAGTAATTTTTTTTCTTTTTAGAAGAAAATAGTCACAAAATCTTAAGAACACCAGTATCATAATACTTTACTCCTGATTCTATGAAGGAAAGAGGCATAAGCAAATCATCTCGGCTTTTGGGGAAACACCAGAAAAATTGTTTGGTGTAGATTTACCTAGAGTGAGGTTGACAGGGTCAGGCTATTTCTACAAAGCATTTGGAAAAAATTCTTAAGTTACCAGCAATTAAGTCAAATTTCTAGGTTCACAGGCAGGGCAAAGAGGATAGTAAGCTACCCTAGAGGTCACTAGGCAACAGTCCAGGTCCAGTGGTCATGCTAAGCCTCTGCCATAGAGAGATGAGATGGTCATGCTTATAATGTGATTGCAGGGGAATTAGGAAAGATTCCTTGTCCCAAATTACTTCCTTTATATAATCTGAAACTGCATACCTAGGAGATTAGTTAGATTTATTTATTGCTATTTAAAAAATAGCAAGTCCTCTCAAAAGATTATAGAGTTCTTGATCAGTCCCACCTAGTATAAATAAAAAATCTGAGGTTTCTCTCAAACAGCCTCATTCAGGCAGCTTGGTTTACAGCATTGGATCTCAGACTTGGCTGTGCACTGGAATCATCTAGGGAGATTATTTTTAAAATACTGATGCCTGGGTCCCACCCTCCGGAATTCTGATTTGTGATGGAGTGTGCCCTGGACATCAGTATTTAAAAAAATTATCAGGTGATTTAATATGCAGCTAAATTTGAGAACCACTGGTTTATAGGGAAGGAAACTGCTCTGGAATTTCCTGGTTCTAGTCCCAGTAGTGATGCTTATCAGCTCTGTAGCTTGGGGTCCATTTGGTTTAACTTACCTATAAGCACTTGTTTCCCTTCCTATAATATTGTCCATTCGAGGTTGTTATGAAAGGTAAATATGACACACATAAAGTGTTGGGCACCAATTATATACTCAAGTCTTTCTCTTTTTTTCCTACCTAGAAATGAGAATTTTCATGGGGGAGAGAAGGGAGGAATTTTGTAGGTAAAGATGATTTAAGATATTCTGGAGAAAGGAGAACTCTGTAAGGGGTACCAAAAGCCCAAGAATTGAAGGCGGAACATTGGGAGAGGTGTGTGTGTGTGTGTGTGTGTGTGTGTAAAGATAGAGAGAACCAAATTGCCAAAAGTTGAAAGAATAGCAAAACAAAATGGATGATAAAGATCCAAAGAGAAATTCTGTTTTGACCCTCTCCTGCCTTGCGTTTTCTATGTCCTACATTGTTATTTGCACATTTATTTAGGAAATAATTAAGGCTGCACAGCTCAAGGAGTGTCCAGACTCCCAAATCCACAAGGACTGAGCAGTCTGCCTTCCTCTTCCCAGGCCCCATAAAATCTCCTGCTTTTTGCAGAATACTGACCCGATCTTCAGAAAGAGGGACTGTGTGCACCGGGATGGGCTGCCAGGGTAGGCTGGGATTCCAGACACTGATACCTTCTGGGGGGAATAGGGCTGCAAGGTTTGTCATAGCACTCATCAATGTCCGGTCAACATCTGTGCTTTGGATATAAACCTAGAGTGGGAAAACCGAAGCAGAATCCAGCTGAGAGGAACGGTGGGTTTTTCCTGTAGAGCTAATATTTGAGAAAAGGCAGAACAACCACACCAAAATATTAGCAGACACCGTGGTAGCATCATGATCATAAGATCTATTATGAAAGAGACAGTATTATGAACATGCCTTGGTATATAACAACATGATATGTCAATAGTTGAACTGACAAAAGAGACCAATTAAGTGGTGACTACTTGCCACCAGTTGCCAAGCTAAAGTATTTACCATAAGTGTCCATCAAATTTTGAACTTATTCATATTTATAATTTTCTAGGAACAAAATAACTGTACAAATTAGAGTACATTTGTAAACAAAATATCTGACTTGAACAAGTTGCTTGAAAAACAGGCAAAGCACTTTCATAAATGCGACATTATGTTAAACTCTTTCAAGGGAAAAAGTTGTCTGTTGATGTTTATAAGACTCATTCAAGAATTTTAGCTCCTCAACTTGCCTGTTGATGTTTATAGGACTCATTCAAGAATTTTCCATATCTTGTCTTTAAATACTCTCCAAGTTCATAATGCTGCTCCATGCCCAGCTACGTGAAAAAAAAAACACACAAAAATTAGTAAAAATAACTTCGTGAATCTTATCTATGCATTTCATCTCTCCTCACTAAATGGGTGAAAAATGGTGTACTTTAATAGTTCCACAATGACAACATATTTTTTTCTTTTTTTCCTTTTTTTATTTCTTTAATTCCCTCCGCCGTCTACCTCTCCTCCCCCCAACACATTTTAAAATGAAAACAAGAAAAAAGAGCTATGACCTTTAGTCATGACTCCCTCAGAAAATTCTTTCATCTTCATTAGCCTTTAACATAGGCCTTGCATAATTAATAGTTTGTAATTGATCTGGTTTAAGTTAATGGTTCATCTCTGGTGTGGTAGAGCATTCAATGTTCATCTTTTAAGGCAGAGCATTCAAAGTGTTAGTTGACTAGTTGGGGGGTTTGTGGAAGAAATTCAACCATCTGATAAGAGGTTGGGCTTAATGAATCTGAAGATCCTTTTCAACCTCTGGGTATAATCATTTATTATTTATACCTGGTACATTTAAAACTAGAGTCTCAAAGTGTGGCCTGTGAATCAGAAGTGTTAACATCACTTGGAAGTATGTTAGACACCAAATTCTTGGGTCCCATTCTTGAACTCTTGATCTAGAATCTTTGGATGTGAGCTCAGAAATCAGTTTTTAACAAACTCATCAAGATTCTGATGGCCAGTAATCATTGAAAAACATTGCTTTAGCTCAATGATCTTTAAGCATTACTGTGCATCAAAAGCAAAATTTATGTAGGGGTGCTTGTTGAAATGCAGACTCCTTAGAATTTCCCCCAGAGATTCCCTCTCATTAGATCCTGGGTATGACTCTGGAATCTGCCTTTTAACAAGTCCCTAGTGATACAGATCTATGTGGTAGAGCACCATGCTTTGAGAAACATTGCATTCAAGTCTGTCTTTAATACAGAGCCTCACCATAGCTTTGGGACTCAGAGAAGATGTGGTCACTGTGGCTTCTGCTTGATCTCACTAGCTCATTTGTTTGTTACTCCTGGCCATCACTACCATTACCACCTCTCTAGATGGGGGAAGAAGGTAGAAAAAATAATAAATAATGTGTGCTTTGAGGTTTGTGAGTTTCCTGGATGAACTGGGTAGCTGAATAAGCAGGTACGTTGGGTCTAATTGTTCTAACATTGCTGACTTTGAGGAAATAATCATCTGTGATAGAGCAATGGTTTTCAAACTTTATCATGCACAGAATCATCTGGAGGACTCATAAAAACAAAGATTCCCAAGCTTTCACCGCAGAGTTTCTGGTTCAGTGGATGGAGCCAAAGGTTTTACATTTCTGTCAAGTTCCCAGGTGACATTGATGTTGCTCAGCCAGGAAACCCTACTTTGAGAACCACTGATATAGAAAGCCATCTCTTGTCATTACGTAGATTGGAAACACCTGGCCAAGGACAGGAATTTGAGCTCTAGAACTTTGCTACTTTAAGAGTGGCCATGTACCAGCACCCCTGGCATCACTTGGGAGTATGTTAGCAATGCAGACTCTCAGGTCCCATGTCAGATCTGTTGAATTAGAATCTGCATTTTAACAAGATCCCCAAGTGATTCATTTACACTTCAGAGCTTGAGAAACATTGCTCTAGGAGAATCTGATGGCTAGTCAAGAGACTCTCGGAAGAATACAGATCCCACAGTCTGGGAGAATCTTTTGGTCTTACTGGAAAAGCAAAGCAGGAGAACAGCAGTCTATACAGAATCATAGTTGTTAAGAAGCAGCCCTGAATTCTTGTAACACTTCTATCATTCCAGAAGCCAGAAGCTGGGTAGGCCTATGGAGAAAAGAGCTCTGATCTGGGAGCCAGAAGCTCTTGGCCTCAAATAGCCTCTCTAAGTTCTCTTCTCTTCAAGAATCATCATAGCTGAGTTAGGGCAGTAATTCTCAACCTTGGCTGCACATTAGAGTCAACTGGTCAACTGAAGAGCTTCTAAAAATCCCAATGTCCAGGCCACACTCAAGACTAATTAAATAAGAACCTCCCAGGCAGACATCAATGCTTTTTAAAGCTCTTCAAATAATTCCAGTGTTTAGCTAAAATTAAGACCCATTCGTTTTGGAAGTACCCAACTCTAAACATTCTTTAACATTTTCTTAATACACTTAAACAGTTAAACAGTGCTTTGGTCAGGACAGAAGCAATGCACCCGGCCTTGTGGCCCCAAGTAGAAGATCTGTACACTCTTATAAGTGAAGGGTGTGGGACGCTGGAACAGAGTCTACATTTGCCTCTGTTTCCCAGTTCACCTTCTCCTTAGGTGCTCTGTAGGAAATAGGGCTCCCTGTGTTTTGCTGGTCACTTACAAGGAGGGCCTGATCCCAATAAACCCACCTGAGAAGAAAAGGAATTTGGTATCAGCACTTCCAGGGGAATCGGTTTCCCAACTCTGCTCACTCAGCTTATTGATGACGAGACGTTCTGCTTTCTCAAGTGGAGCCTGAGAAACTTGGGGGCTGGCTTATATATATCTCTTGACTCTCTTTAGTGTCCCTAAACTTCTGGAATCTTCTGTCGTCCATGCACACCTCTTCAGCTTTACTAAAGTCAGCAGGGTAAAAAAGATCAGAACTGGCAATTCTATATACTTTTACTAGTCGCTAAGGGTGATTTGGACATGATCAGAAATAATCTAGGCTAACCGTTAGTGCTTCTTATTCCACAATCAAAACACATTTTAGACTTTTTAGATCCTAGGTAATTGTGAAAATTACTTTCCTAGTAACTGAAGTAGTTAAATGGTTTCAATAGATTACAGATCTCACAATGTTTAGTTTCCCTTGAGACTCATCACCAATATTTAGCTGAAAATCCAACCAACCTGAGTGAGTTGACCAAATCCTTGAGGCCATGAAGATTCCTTAATGGGGTCATTAGGAAAGGTTTCGATGGGACTTCGGTCTCCATGCCTAAACACCTGAAAATAGATTGAGAAGGTAACGTGACAAACCTCACTTAGGTTTTTGTCTCTGCCCATCATAATAGATCTTGTTCTAAACCAGCAGTCCCCAACCTTTTTGGCATCAGGGACCAGTGCTCCTGTGAGAATCTAATACCTGATGATCTGAGGTGGAGCTGAGACGGCGATGCTAGTGCTGGAGAGCGGCTACAAATACAGATGAAGCTTTGGTCACTCGCTGCTCACCTCCCGCTGTGTGGCCCAGTCCTAATAGGCCATGGACTGGTATCGGTCCATGGCCAGGGTTTGGGGACCCCTGTTCTAAACTCCTGGTTCTTAGCCTTGGCTGCTCGTAGAATCACTTGGGGAGTGAAAAAAATTCTGAGGGTGGACCCACTCCTAGTGATTTTGTTTTAATCAGTTTGGGTTGTGGCCAGGCCATCAGGATTTAAAAATCCTCCCAGGTAAATCTCATATTAGGCTCGCTAACTCTTTTCCTGAGCTTCTGGTAATGCAAATGACGAGATATAGCCATTAGGAGGCAGGTGACCCACACAGGGAGACTGGTTTGTACCATTAGGGCAAGAAGTAACATAAAGCTTAGTTTGGTTATTTTATTGCAGATAAACTCTGATGAGAAGTACTCCCCCCTTAACTGTGGTTACAGATATAATGGTGTTAACAGTTTTGCATATAATAAAAATTGTGGCTATTAAATGCTACATAGAATTCATGACCATTTTGAGCCAAGGATTTGTTAGTCTTTAGGAGGTTAGGGGTAAAGGAATTGTGGTAAGGAGATTAGAAAGTAAATTCTAAACACTTTAAGGACAAACTTCTCGATTTACATGCATGTCATGCTATTTTGATTGCCCATTTTACTCTTTGGGGAGAGTAGCCTGGACTTTTGAAACCTTGGTACTTTGATTACAATATGCTTTCTGAGTGGTATACCAAGCCAAACATAAAGCTATTTTTATAAGCAAAAGAT